CGGGGCCACGAAAGGTCCATGGGGACTTCCCGCCCTGGTGGCTGTCTCTGTCAACCAGAGACCAGAGCCTTGCCTCTCTAAGGAGGTGTCTTCTAAGTGCTTTCCTTTCTCCCTACAGGGAGAAGTTCGAGTCTGTTTTTGGCCCATCTTTGTTTTCCTTAGTGATATAATACACTGATGTGGTATCTTCCAGTGTATTTATGTTGTTTGGAGCCATCCATGCTGGTATCTAAATACAATAGGAAAACAGATGGCAAACTTTGAACTTCTGGACCAAATTTGTGTTTGCCTTTGTCTCCTTAACAGCCAAACTGTAAATGATGGGAGTATAAATATTCAACAGAGGAGCTCTTTATGAAAATCACCAGAGCAAAATAGACCCTTATTACCCAAATATGCACTGAGAAGTACTCGAGCTAAAAATTCCTCCCTCCCCCTCATCCTTTTCTGGTTCCCATTAGTAGGCCGCGCAGCTGTAGCCTGCAGGCAGAATTCCCTTCACAGCAGCTTTACCTTCTCTCCTCTCTTACCCACCAATGCCCAGAGATCAGTGTCTCCAAATGCTCTTTGTCCTCACACTGGCTCTGCCTCTCTCTGGTCACTGACCCCCTCACTGGGAAGCGGGACTGGTGGGGAGGAGGCTGACGGAGCTCTGTCGTCCAGCCGACAGCTGGAGGCAGCCCTGGACCTCGCCTCTGTGTCCTAAGACACGAGGTTTTTAAAACCCTGTGTGATTTGAAACAGAACACCTACGTGGAAGTGTATACAGGGTATGTGGTGTAGAATTTAGAGAGCAACTGAATGCCTGGGCATTCCCCCCAGCACAGGCAGGCACTTAGGAAACAGCATGACCAGTACGTGAAGGCCCGGTGACGGCCCCAGGAGCCCCTCCCAGTCCTAAATGAGTTCGTTTCTTCAACAGCTTGGCTGTGTCTAGAATAAGAAGTAAAAGCTGCCTTTATTCCCCTCATTCCTCCTTGATGCTCTTCCCCATGGTAACTGCTATTACCTGTTCATTATGTCCTTCTGGAATTTTATCTTTAAAAGTCTTTTAAGAGAAGTCATCTACACCTTTAAAATTTAATTCAAAAGCACAAAAAAGAATATATGGGGAAAAGTTGTCTCCTGGGAGTATCTCTGCTCAGAGGAGGCTGGGTAGCTGCATTCTCCAGAAGGGGCCTTCACAGTTAGGTGGGTGCAGCCGCCCCCCCACCCGACCTGGCACACAGCTGGGCCCGGGCACCTGGGGCGTGGCGGTGTGTGGGTGACGGCGGCCCTCAGTCCGTGTCATTCTCCTCATCCTCTCCTGCCTATGCAGGCCTCTATCATGCCTGTACGGACGCACTGTCACGGCCTCAGCTGATAGAGGTAGGTAACCTGTGTGCACCATTGAGTCTCAGATTCATGACGATGCAAAAACGATGCTCTAATAATCATAACATCTTTTTGTCTCAAGTTGCTTTTAAGACCTCTCTTTTTTTCTGTATTTGGTTTCCCACTTTACGATGATACTCTTTGATATGTATCTCTTTTTAAGTTATTCTGATTAGTGTTCGTGAGTGTTAGTATGCCCGTCTTTCATTCTGGGAAAACATCAGCCATTAACACTTCGAATAGTGCTTCTTTGCCATACACTGTATTTTCTCCTTATGGAAACTTCTTTGGGGCATAAATAAGCTGGACCGTCCTTCCTGTCTCTTAACCCTTCATTCACATTTTGCATCTGCTTCTCTCTCCGTGCTCCATTCTAGGTAACTTTTCAGATTTATTTTCTAATTTATAAGTGCTTTGTCTAATCTGCTTCTAGACTGTCTAGTGATTTTAATTGCAGGATTATGTTTTTGTGTCTAGAAGTTCTATACTGCTTTTTTGTGAAGCAACTTCTCAATACTCTCGTTTGGGTGGACCCCAGTCTTGGTCCTGTGGTGCAATAAGAGCCAGGCCCACTGCTTCCTGTGATTGGACCTGCCTTCAGCCTCACCCCTACCACACATGCCTACAGGCACCAGACACCGCAGCTCAGGCTCTCCAGACTGGTTTTCTAGAAGGGTCCTAGGGAGGTCAGTTGTTCCGTGAGTTCATCAAGGCATTTAGAAGGATATAGTTACATCTTACCCAGCAATACTAAGTGGTGGTTACTGGGATGGTCAGCAGGTACCTGAAACAGAAGCCTCATCTTTGCTACTAAAAAAGCGCTATGGCTAATGGCCTTATATATATGTGTATGGATATACACATATGTTAGATGTGTTGTTCTTTAGTTTGCTAAGCTGTGTCTGACTCTTTGTGACCATGTGGACTGTAGCCCACCAGGCTTCTCTGTCCATGGGGTTTTCCAGGCAAGAATACTGGAGTGGGTTGCCAGTTCCTTCTCCAGGGGATCTTCCCAACCCAGGGATCGAACTCACATCTCCTGTGTTGCAGGTGGATTCTTTACCACTGAGTAGTTGAGGAAGCCCCAGTATTAGATGTGGCCTAGATAAAATCCTAGAAGTAGAGCTGCTAGGTCAAAAGTGAAGTGTATTTTTTAAGTTGTTGGATATTGTCAGATCACTCTCCAAAGAGGCGGCTTGTGCTCCCATCAGCCACACAGATGTACCTGTCCATCCAGCACTCAGCAGCATGGAAGATCTCAGAGTATTACAGAACTTTACCTTTGCAGGGTAGACAGTTTGACAAGTGGTATTATGGTGCTGCAGTTTTGGTGCATAATTTCTCTTGTTACCAGTGAACTTGGACATCTTGTACATGTTTAAAAGCCATTAGTATTAATATTTCTTTTCCTGTGAACTTTTTCTTTTCTCTCAGTTTAATAATGGGTCATCAGGGACTTGCCTGGTCCAGTGGTTAAGAATCACCTTCCAGGTCAGGGGCATGGGTTTGGTCCCTGTTCAGGAACTAAGCCAGCATGCAGCGACTAAGACCCAACCAGCCGAGTAAACATTTAAAAAATAATGGAGTGTATCAGTTTAAATGAAACTTTTTTTCTTTACAAGAAATTAGCCAGTCCTTTCTGCTGCATTTTCCCCAGCTTACCAGTTGTGTTGATTTTTTTTTTTAATGTTTTTATAAAGGCCTGCCTATCTTGAATGTTTTTAATTGTTTTCAATTCTCAGAGTCCTCTATAGTTAGTTTTGGTGGGTAGAGCTCCATATTGAGAAAGTTATTATAAGGCATTTTGTCTTTAATTGCTAATTTAAGTGGGATCTTTTCTTGGAAGGAAGGGGCACTGCAAAACGAAAATGAATTTCTTAGGTATTGTTTATTTTTTATTTTACATACAATGCAACTATACACATCAGCCGTTGACTGTAATGTCCTAAACCTCCCTCCCACTCCTGTAGGTTGTCACAGAGCACTGGGTTGGTTGAGCTCCCTGTGTGTCAGTGTATTAAATGTACTAAAACTGACATGTAAAAGTGTAAATCATGGGGTGGTTTTTTAATTGGAATATTTGATTTATACTTTTTACATGTGGCCTTTTTTTCCTGACAAGTTTTATGAAACATGTAGTACACTGTACCTGTCTCATCATTATCAAGTACTCTCAGCTAATGCTTTTTGCTCTGAAATCTATCTTTTCAGGTATTAAAATTGTCACCTCTCTTCCTTGTCACACGCAAATGTGCCTTTGATGTACAGTATATATTGAGTTTTGCTCTGTGACTGTTGGAGGCTCTTCCTCCTAAGAGGTGGGTTTGTCCTTGTCCTGTGAGTCTAGCTGACACGGTAGGTCTTTCTCTGCTGTCTGTGATGCTCATACCTCACTCTGTGGGCTGGGGGAGGGGTGCTCCTCACTGTCCTGATATTTTGCCACCCGTTTCTTTCAGAGAGTATCCATGGGTAGCTCACTTTGAGTCCTTTTCTGGTAAAAATTTTTTTTAAAAGTCTTCATTATGCCCTCAAACTTGGTAAATAATGCAGTATAGAATTTCCAGTTGAAATAATTTCCCCTCAGAATGCTGGAAGTAGTCTGTGTGCGTGTGCGCTCATACAACTGTTAAGAGGCTAGGACCTGGAACATGTTTGAGTTCTTCCTTCTCCCCACGTTCTCCGTGTGGGACACGTTTGTCCAGCTCCCCTGCCAGCTGGTGGCATCTGTTCAGGGCAGCACTAGTCTCTTCCTTGGTGGTGGAAATTCAGCACATACTTGTATAGAAAGTAATTTTTAAAGATGTTCTCAAATTCAGATTATTACAAGGTAGGTAATTATCTCAAGACTTTGGATAAGCAACTCCCCAGTGTCGACATATTCTCATCATGATTCTCTTATGCTTAGTCAACTATGGATCCGTCCCCTTTCCAAATTTCAACAAGACACTGATGAACCATACACCACTCCACCCGAAAAGGGCTATTTTTCGGGTGAACTGGGTACTGGTTCAGGCTGCAGACAAATGTAGCTGTTTTACATCTTGCCCTTAACAGTCTTGTATACAAACAGCAAAACTGCCATGCTGGGCTTCTCGGGCCGACGTCCCCATGGAGGCAGCATGCCAGTCAGGTCACAGCCTCCTCTCCGTGGGCTGCTGTCCAGGACAGCTGGTATCTGTGTCCTTGTTCTGTGCTTTGATCTTCGCTGGTGGCTGAGAGTAAAGAATCTGCCTGCAATATGGGAGACCCAGGTTCAACCCCTGGGTTGGGAAGGTGCCCTGGAGAAGGAAATGGCAACTCACTCTAGTATTCTTGCCTGGGAAACGTCATGGACAGAGGAGCCTGGCAGGCTACAGACCACTGGGTCGCAAAGAGTCGGACACGACTGAGAGACTAACTTTTCTGTACTTTGAGTAGGTGTGGGTACTCTAAACTATGCCATTTCTAGTGCCCTGTAGCCTCCTGTGAGAGTACACCATGGAGGTGAATGTTTACTGTCCGTATTTGGACATTTGTAAATAAAGGGGTTTCATGTTCTTCATCTTCATAGGGTTGCTGTGCACAGATGAGGAATCTGTCACCTCGGGCTCTGATGCTAATTTCTCTGCTCACCTTGGGCCTTGCAGGGTGAGGATCCACGACCTCCGCACCGACAGCATCGCCCTGTCCATCTCCGCCCACCAGCTTGGAGTTTCCGCGGTCCAGATGGATGACTGGAAGATTGTCAGTGGAGGCGAGGAGGGCCTGGTCTCCGTGTGGGACTACCGGATGAGCCAGAAGCTGTGGGAGGTCCACTCCAGGTAGGCTGGCCCGCAGGTGCTGCAGTGGTGATGGTGTCAGCCAGCTGCAGAGGCAGGCACTTCCCTTCGCAGAGTGTCCTTGCTGTGATCCTCTGAGCCAGCTGCTGAGATCTCTGGAAATGGGCTCAGAACTGGAGCTGGTCACTGCTGCCTGTTCAGACAGCTACCACCTGGCTTGGGTAGAGACCGTGATGGGACAGACCCCCATCCGTCCCCGGGTGGGGCTGGCCCAGGCCCCCCATCCTCCACTCCAGGGAGTATTGCCACTTCACACTGAAAAATTCAGGTTCAACCAAGGAGGAATTTGTGACTTTGACCTTTAGCTCTAAAATTCAAGAGACACATACTCTCCCAAGCAGAGCAGATGGCTAGGTAAAGGGATACTAAGGGGGCCTCCCCTGTTAAACATCTTGAGCTTGCTTCTAACCTTTAAAGCAGAGGTGGCCTTGCCTGAGCAGAGGTCAGCTGGAGCTGACTCGAGGCTGCCACCTCGCCCACACCCACCCACCCCGAGTTTTCCATCAGCGCCACGGTGACGAGATGCTCTGGGGCAGGGGTTCTGTGTGCAGGTAGGGCAGAGCATCCATTGCAGAGGCGTGCCCCCGCCAACTGCATGAGGAAGTGAAGACTGCTCACAGGTCTAGGTTAAGTACGAGGTAAAAAGAGGATGGGTTTGCTTTCTTGCTGGGCAGCGATAGCCGGTGCTTGGCCGGCAGCATTCTCAGCTGGGGTGCCTGCCATCCGTGGGGATGCACTGAGTTGCCACCAGGTGGTGCCAGAAGGCAGCAAACGCCCGCACCGTGGCCGCCCAGAACTGTCTCTGGTAAGGACAGCCTCTACTTTTTTCTCAAGAGCTGTCTCAGCCTGGCTGCTCCCCCAGCTGCCCCCAGCAGCTCCGGTCAGCCCACAAGGACTGCCCTTGGGCAGAGCTCATTTCTCTCTCCCTGAAAAGCTCTTCTCTCTCGGGTGGATCGTTAAGGTGAAGCCAGGGTAAGTGAGGTTGTGCCCAGCACTGTGTCCTGCCCCACCTTCCTAGCTCGTTTGTGATGCCTGTCGGTTCTCACCAGTGCTTAGCGTTTGTCCCAGAGAAGGTCTCAAAGCCTTGTTTACCAGCGCAAGGCTGATCCCACGCAGTCTGCCGGGGATTCTCAGACTCAGTCCAGTCCTGGCGGCCAGTGCCCCATGCCCACTGTTCTCAGTCTCCCACCCCACTGCCCACCACAGCCACACTCCCCAGGTCCCCCCGCCCCTCCTCAGCCAGCCAGCGGCACACCTGGGACTGAGCCCCGACCTGTCCCCTCCCCGTCCTCCTCTCTCCTTTGCTCTCCAGCCCTCTTGCCTCGCTGGGCCCTAAGTGAAGTTTTCCAGGAACACTTTCTGTCCAGTCGGCACCACAGACCCTGGACTCGGGAACCCCGTCACCACCTTAAGAGGATCCTCGGCTCTGGCCAAGATGCCTGTCCTGCCCCCAGCCATCTCTGGGGCAGGGACACCCCCTCAGCCCTTCTCAGAGGGCCCAGCTGACAGGCCAGAGTCTACTGGGCCTAGAAGACCCCTGTAGTCTCTGCTGGTGTCTCCTGTTCCTCCTCCCAGTGCTGGACCGTGTCTCATCTTGTGGCTTATAACGTCTCTGGTGCTCTGGAAACACTGGCTGCTACACCTAAAGCAACTAGAGGAGGAAGAAATGAAGAACCACAGGGTTAGTAGAAGGAAAGAAATCTTAAAAATTAGTTTCTTTTGCATTTATTTCTGCCCTAAAGAGATCATAGCAAAAATTAACAAAGCTAAAAGCTGGTTTTTTGAAAAAATAAAATTGACAAACCATTAGCAAGTCTCATTAAGAAACAAAGGGAGATGAACCAAATTAACAAAATTAGAAATGAAAATGGAGAGATCACAACAGACAACACTGAAATACAAAGGATCATAAGAGACTACTACCAGCAGCTCTATGCCAATAAAATGGACAACTTGGAAGAAATGGACAAGTTCTTAGAGAAGTATAACTTTCCAAAACCATCACAAGCAAGGAAATCGAAACTGTAATCAGAAATCTTCCAGCAAACAAAAGCCCAGGACCAGATGGCTTCACAGCTGAATTCTACCAAAAATTTAGAGCTAACACCTATCTTACTCAAACTCTTCCAGAAAATTGCAGAAGAAGGTAAACTTCCAAACTCATTCTATGAGGCCACCATCACCATAATTCCAAAACCAGACAAGGATGCCACAAAAAAAGAAAACTACAGGCCAATATCACTGATGAACATAGATGCAAAAATCCTTAACAAAATTCTAGCAAACACAATCCAACAACATATTAAAAAAATCATACATCATGACCAAGTGGGCTTTATCCCAGGAATGCAAGGATTCTTTCATATCTGCAAATCAATCAATGTAATACACCACATTAACAAATTGAAAGATAAAAACCATATGATTATCTCAATAGATGCAGAAAAAGCCTTTGACAAAATTCAACATCCATTTATGATTAAAACTCTCCAGAAAGCAGGAATAGAAGGAACATACCTCAACATAATAAAAGCTATATATGACAAACCCACAGCAAGCATCACCCTCAATGGTGAAAAATTGAAAGCATTTCCCCTGAAATCAGGAACAAGACAAGGGTCCCCACTCACCACTACTATTCAACATAGTTTTGGAAGTGTTGGCCACAGCAATCAGGGCAGAAAAAGAAGTAAAAGGAATCCAGATAGGAAAAGAAGAAGTGAAACTCTCTCTGTTTGCAGATGACATGATCCTCTACATAGAAAACCCTAAAGACTCTACCAGAAAATTACTAGAGCTAATCAATGAATACAGTAAAGTTGCAGGATATAAAATTAACACACAGAAATCTCTTGCATTCCTATACACTAACAATGAGAAAACAGAAAGAGAAATTAAGGAAACAATACCATTCACCATTGCAACAAAAAGAATAAAATACTTAGGAGTATATCTACCTAAAGAAACAAAAGACCTATACATAGAAAACTATAAAACACTGATGAAAGAACTCAAAGAGGACACAAACAGATGGAGAAATATACTGTGTTCATGGATTGGAAGAATCAATATTGTCAAAATGGCTATACTACCCAAAGCAATCTATAGATTCAATGCAATCCCTATCAAACTACCAACGGTATTTTTCACAGAACTAGAACAAATAATTTCACAATTTGTATGGAAATACAAAAAACCTCGAATAGCCAAAGTAATCCTGAGAAAGAAGAATGGAACTGGAGGAATCAATCTGCCTGACTTCAGACTATACTACAAAGCCACAGTCATCAAGACAGTATGGTACTGGCACAAAGACAGAAATATAGATCAATGGAACAGAATAGAAAGCCCAGAGATAAATCCACGAACCTATGGTCACCTTATCTTCGACAAAGGAGGCAAGGATATACAATGGAAAAAAGACAACCTCTTTAACAAGTGGTGCTGGGAAAACTGGTCAACCACCTGTAAAAGAATGAAACTAGAACACTTTCTAACACCATACACAAAAATAAACTCAAAATGGATTAAAGATCTAAATGTAAGACCAGAAACTATAAAACTCCTAGAGGAGAACATAGGCAAAACACTCTCCAACATAAATCACAGCAGGATCCTCTATGACCCACCTCCCAGAATATTGGAAATAAAAGCAAAAATAAACAAATGGGACCTAATGAAACTTAAAAGCTTTTGCACAACAAAGGAAACCATAAGCAAGGTGAAAAGACAGCCCTCAGATTGGGAGAAAATAATAGCAAACGAAGCAACAGACAAAGGATTAATCTCAAAAATATACAAGCAACTCCTCCAGCTCAACTCCAGAAAAATAAATGACCCAATCAAAAAATGGGCCAAAGAACTAAACAGACATTTCTCCAAGGAAGACATACAGATGGCTAACAAACACATGAAAAGATGCTCAACATCACTCATTATCAGAGAAATGCAAATCAAAACCACAATGAGGTACCATTACACACCAGTCAGGATGGCTGCTATCCAAAAGTCTACAAGCAATAAATGCTGGAGAGGGTGGGAATGCAAATTAGTACAGCCACTATGGAAAACAGTGTGGAGATTTCTTAAAAAGCTGGAAATAGAACTGCCATGTGACCCAGCAATCCCACTTCTGGGCATACACACCAAGGAAACCAGATCTGAAAGAGACACGTGCACCCCAATGTTCATCGCAGCACTGTTTATAATAGCCAGGACATGGAAGCAACCTAGATGCCCATCAGCAGACGAATGGATGAGGAAGCTGTGGTACATATACACCATGGAATATTACTCAGCCATTAAAAAGAATTCATTTGAATCAGTTCTAATGAGATGGATGAAACTGGAGCCCATTGTACAGAGCGAAGTAAGCCAGAAAGATAAAGACCATTACAGTATACTAACACATATATATGGAATTTAGAAAGATGGTAACGATAACCCTATATGCAAAACAGAAAATGAGACTCCGATGTATAGAACAGACTTGTGGAGAAGGCGAGGGTGGGATGTTTCAAGAGAACAGCATCGAAACATGTATATTATCTAGGGTGAAACAGATCACCAGCCTAGGTTGGGTGCATGAGACAAGTGCTCGGGCCTGGTGCACTGGGAAGACCCAGAGGGATCGGGTGGAGAGGGAGGTGGGAGGGAGGACCGGGATGGGGAATACATGTAAATCCATGGCTAATTCATTTCAATGTATGACGAAAACCACTGCAATGATGTAAAGTAATTAGCCTCCAACTAATAAAAATAAATGGGAAAAAAAAATTAAGAAGAAAAAAAAAGAGTAAGGAGGTGAGGGGCATCCTGAGTCCAGGGCCTGGCAGGGCCGTCATGGCCAGCACCGGGCAAACCCTGCAGATGGGGAACCCGGCCCAGGCCAGCCCGTGAGAGAGACTTCTTCACCACGGGTGTCCGAGTTGTCTCAGGTTATTTGTCCTTTTACGTCCCAGCGCGCCAGGTGCTGGAGCATTAGCCAGAGAGTACAGGACCATGGAGACGCGTGTACAGAGTAGGCCCGGCTGTGGCCTGGTCTCCGTGAGGCCAGACACTGGCCCTCGGGGGGCCCAGTTTCCTCCACTGTGAAGGAAGAGCCTGGCTTAGACGGCTCTGGAGCCCTGTGCAGCTCCACACTTGTGAGGCCCTCGTAGCAGAGGTAGGACGTGAGTTCCCGCGGGCCTACCCTGACGAGCGTCCCCATGTGTTCCAGACACCCTGTGCGGCACATCTCCTTCAACAGCCACAGCCTCATCACGGCCCACGTGCCCTACGAGCGGGTGGTGCGCAGCGCCGACCTGGACAACTTCGCCACCCACCGCAGGTCAGCGCTCGGGCGGGGGTTGGTCTGGGTGTGTAGATGTTCAGCCTGATTTTTGTTACTAAAACAGCCTGGGCCACCTTGTTCCCTGCAGGGTGTACCCTCAGGCACGGCTCTTCTTTTCATTGAAGTCAGGGACACACACATAGGTGTGGCCAGTAACACGGGCTGACTGCCTGCTGCAGCTGGATGCTGCGGGGGTGGGGGGTGAGGGGCACAGCGGGGCTGTGGCCACACCTGCCTGGAGCCCAAGCCTAAAGGCTTAAGATGGTGTTAGAAGCCTAGCGACAGTGCCAAAGCCCAGTCCTCACACCCAGCCGAGGCTGCCACGCTGGGGGCTCAGAGGCCCTTTTTACTACTGTTGGCCTGGCTCCCTGCCCAGCTGGGTGCCTCTCCACACTGAGTTCCCTCCATCAAACCTGTCTGCTCACCTCTTCATCTCTGGGTGCGGGGTTGGAGTGTCGCACACACTGGGACATTCGTCATGAATGGCTGTCTCGAGCAGATGTCCCAGGGGAGGGGGCTGGGCCCTGGGACTGACCGTGCTTTCTCTGTGCTTTCTGTAGACACCGGGGGCTGATCCAGGCCTACGCGTTTGCAGTGGACCAGCTGGCCTTTCAGAGCACGGTACCCATCTGCCGCTCATCCTGTGATGCCATGCCGGGTTACAACTACGACCTCGCACTTGCCTTCCCCCCTGACAGTATTTAGGGAAGCGCTTCACTGGCGAGCAGGAGGGGCACTGCATGGGGCTGTAAGTGTTGGGGAGAAGAGCAACCCCAGGGCGCACTGTGTGACCCCCCCACATCCCTCTGTGCCTTTGCTTTCCCTGTTGCTGGGTTCTCCCCGCATCATTGTGTACACTGCACAGAGGTCTTCACTGTAGCTCCCAGGTGAGGCCCTGTGGCACCCCTCTCCAGCACACTCGCCCTCTTTCCAGTCTCCAAACTCCTTCTTCTTTGGGGGGTGCCTTTGGATACGCTGGTCTCTGAGTTGACAAGGCCTCATCAGCCACCCAGCTCTAGGATCTGAGGTCACGAATTCAACTCTGGGTCGTCCCCAGTCTGGGAGGATAGTCCTTTATCCTGGTAGCTTTTGATTTATAATTATATATTTGTACAATGATTTCATTAATAACTTTTGCTTACTACGATGTCTGTAACATGTGATACAAAGTAGACATTTTCTACATACTCATGAATAAACAGCTGTCCTCCACCTAGGGGGAAGATGATGGATTCTGGAGTAGAGAATGAGAAAGGGGGATAATACTGGAGGAGCCGTTACATGTTAACCCACTGAGATAAGACAGGGTAACACAAGAGACCTGTTCATGCTGATAAATAGCTTCCATTTCCGTAAGATTAAGAGGGCAAACCATTGCATTCCTCTTGATTTAAAGACTCTTGTAACCAGCAGCCACCTACCTTATCTACAAAATATCCAAGCAGAAAAACTGATGGAACTAAACAGAGAAATCCATGCTCATGGTGGGTGGTCAGATCAAATCAGTAAAAATGTGTAAGGATTTGGAAGACATGCTTAATATAATTTATAAGCTCAACACAGTGGCTGTAGATAGGATTCTGTACCTTTTCAGATACCCACAGGCCACACACAGATGGAGGCCACAGGAGCAGCTCGGATTAGACGAAGAGCAGCACCAGCAGACAGGCCCAGTCCAGTGCCCCAGGTCCCAGTGGGTTCCAGTCAGACTTCAGCAGAGTGCTAAGCAAAGACCTGGGAACTCCAGGCGCTCCTGAATTAACTTAGGATTTTTATATTTTTAATTGGAGGATAACTGCTTTACAACATGGGGTTGGTTTCCACTGTACAGCAACATGAATCTGACTTGCTTTTAAAGAGGGAAATAAAAATGGAAACCAGGAAGGGAGACAGTAGAAGCACTGACCATCAAGACCCAGGGGGTGAGGCCAGAATGGGACAGGGTTACCTTGTGACTTAATGGAAAACAAGACAGGAAATCAGTGCACTAAGCAGACACCTCAGAAAGCTTAAGAGGTCCTAGTGATCCCAACAAAAGGAAGGAGCTAAGGATAAGAACACTAATGAACTAGTGTTTAAGCGTTAGTGGCTCAGTCGTGTACCACTCCTTACAACCCTATGGATGGCAGCTCACCAGGCTCCTCTCTCCATGGGCTTCTCCAGGCAAGAATACTGGAGTAGGTTCCCGTTCCCTTTTCCAGGGGCTCTTCCCAACCCAGGGTCTCCTGAATGCAGGCCGATTCTTTTCCATCTGAGCCGCCAGGGAAATCTCATGAACACCAACAAATAGTGAAGTTGATGCTAAAGCCAAAAGCAGTTTTTTAAAAAGATGAAATATACAACTGTTGATAAAGGTTTTAAAAAAGAAGGCCCAAGGGACTATCAAACAGAGTAAGTATATTTTCAGCGTGGGGATAATTTGCCTGCACTGATCCAAGAGCAAAGTGCAGCTTTCCTGCTGTTCACAAGCATATACAGATGGTTGGGAAACACACCATTACCTGGAGTCCTAGAACTTTTGAATCCTGAGGGTTGTGGAAGGCTTTTTTATCTTTTCAGATTAAGGTCCTCGTTCATAAAAGATGCACATCCAGCTAGAGAGGATGACAGAATCAGAGAGAGAGTGGCTCTGGGACCCGTCCCTCCCCCCGAGAGTGCAGCTGTCCTTCCCGGGAAGGCGGCTGTGTCAGTGGAGGTTCCTGCTTCCCTTCAGAAAACCCCATTACCTCCCAAATGAAGCTGGCCTGCAGCTGGTGGATGACACATGTACTGTACTGGACTCTCACTGCTCTGACCCCCAGTGACATCGTTGCTACATGGCTTCCATCTCTCAGTCTTACCACTGGGGAAAGTCGTTTTTCCTTTAAGCAGCAGCTCTCTTGCAGTCTGATTTCAGTTCATTTTGCAGATACAGTCTCCCTCTTAGTTTTGCAGGAATTAAGGATAATGAAAGAGTTCAAAAGAAATTAGACCCAGAAAACTTTACTGAAAATAAAAAGTTTTCAGCTACTTTGAGTCACTGCTGGTCCAGGGCAAAATGTTGACAAGCATGGGGTTTCTCCTTCCTAGCCTGTTGATAACATCTACCATCCATGAGAACCACCTGGGCTTTGTTTCCCGGACCCAAACTATAATCTCCAGGCACGTCGAACTCAGTCAACATTTTTTTGCAGTAAACCTTATGTCCCTGAAGAGGTCACCCTGATGGGGAAAGGTTCAGAGTTCCTTTGTGAACAACCACTTTCCATGGCTTCAAGAAATCTTGGCCCACGTCCACCCCATCTGCTCACCCCACCTTACCTGTGTCCCCGCTGGCTGTTCTGTGGGAAGCTCCTCTGCCAGTTGAATAGCTGACTGACCCAAAGTCTGCTCTTCGCCCTACCTCTCTGTCCTGCTTTTCAGCCTCAGCCCCAGGTCTTCCCCGAAGACCAGGATGGCCCTCAGGGAGAGCCAGAGGGCCGAACACCAGAGACGTTTGTCTCGTCCGGCTTTGGCTTTTCTACTTTATAACATGTCCGTGTTCTGATACTAAATTTTTCAAATGTATTTATTGCCAAAATGACTCCTCACCCTGGCAAGGTGTATAGCACCAGAACCCCCCCCCCACACACACACATACACCACTCTACCAGCTCTGCACTCTCCTCCCAAAAATCTCACATTAGTGAGATAGTTTTTCCCCAGAACCACTGTTAGAGGGGCTCCTAGCCCAGGATCCAGGAGACCCACACGCAGTGTGTGAAACTGCATAAGGGGACTTTTATGGGAGAAAGTGTGGCTCTTCTGTCAGATTCTCAAAGGTAAACCCCAGTTCCCCGAGGATTCCAGCTGCGGCCACTAGATGGCGCTGCCACTGCCCAGGGAGTGATTTCATCTGAAGACACATCCTAGGTCCACATCATCTTCCCCTGCAAGGAGACAGCCTGCCCTAGCTGACTGGATTCAGCTGATTCAAGGAAAACACAGTGTCCCTAAGAGTGGAGTTCTGGTCCGAGTCCTCCGTGCCCTCCAGAGCCAGGGTGCCCTCTATTTGAGAGAACAGTGCATCTCACTCCGCACTGAGATGGCAAACACTGGCCACAGCGAACCCACCCTGCCCACCATCGGAGAGAAGTGGCCTTCTGGTGGGGACGCAGCCCCTCTTACTGGGGCCTGTCAGGACGGGCGGGCCCACAAGGGTGGCGCCGGGGGCTGCTGGCCTTCCCTGACACGCCTTCGCTCTGCACAGCAGCTGCAGCAGCTGGGAGTGCCGGCCACCAGGCCCCGGAGCCCCAACCCTGCCGCCAGGCCAGATGGATCCCTGGCAGCTGTGCAGGCGCCAGGGCGATTTGGACAGCCTGGCCTGGGGTGGGCAACGGCAGCGCCCCCCTCGCTGGGCTCCAGCCGGTGCCACGTGGGCGCCAACCTGCTCTCTCCCTGCCTCTGCTGCTGGGCGGGGGCTTCCAAGCAGAAGCTCCACCGGGGAACTTCTCTACCCCTAGAATGGGCGGGCAGGCTGCCCCCACATCCAGAGTGGAGCTTGTCCTGATCTTCCCTCGCCCAGCACCAGTGCGAACGCCCCCCTCCTGGGTTCCTTTAGAGGGAGGCGCCACAAGCTGCTCCTCTGATGACGCATCCGCCCACCTGACCGCTTGCCCCATGGACTTTTCTCGGGTAAAGACGGGAAGTTCAGTCCCTGCTGACCTGGTCCACCAGCGGGTTAGGAGGAAGAGCAGCCACCACATGCCCATCAGAGTCCTCAGTCCTCCTGGGGGCCAAGTTCCTCCAGCCACTGAATCCCTCCTGGCATTGGTCACCGGTTCCGGAAGAGCCCAGAGACAAAGGCAACACTGACGCCCTGGGAGGTGATGGTGACAGCCCCAGCTCCTCCCACTCAACTCTCCAAGGCCTCCCCAAGGTCACGGTGTGGGAGGACAGCTTGCAAGGCGGGTGTCTGCGGAACCCTTGCCAAGGCAACTTGTATTTTTAACTCTCCATCAGCCTACGTTAAGTCACTATGCTGTGTGCGGTTGAGCTTCAGCCTGGTGAACCCTGGGCAGCAGAGATGGGTTCACCTGCTCAGTGACAAGCATCAGATGCATACCTGAACCTGCCTCCCATTAGCAAAGCACATAAAGAACATCCCCAGCCCCTGGGGTCAGAAAATAATCAAACTGCTGAAGTTTAGGCATAACTCAGTAACTTGTTCCTTCAGAGGGTGCTAAGCCAAAACTAGAAGCTCCTGCCATCTTACTCCATTCCTTTATCCATAATTCATGTTAACGTGGCTGCAGGTTTCCCTTGAGCTTCTCATATTAGATTTCCATTACATAGCCCTTTTGTAAACCTACCACATGGCCATGTTTGTGTCAAATTGCTGTATTCTTCTAACAGCCAAAAGCAGAGTTCTGGTAACATTTTCTCCTTGGTAATATGGCAACATTGGACTAGATCCTGCCTTCATCCCAATTCCTGGGAAGTGGGTGGAGAATGTGGAGAGAGGTGACCTCACCCTCATCCTGCACGCTGTGGACACGTCCCTGCTCCATCTCCTCCACCCACAGCCTGAGGCCCTCAAAGCACTGACTTCAAATATTTGATTTAGCATTGATTAATCATGAGTATAATTCCCAATAAGAGGAAAGCTGTAAAACAAGGGCATTTGTTCTACAACAGGCAAATTAAGAAATCAACAGACACATCACTTCAGGTGGGGGCAGAGCTACACTCACTCTGGGTCTCTGCAGCCAGAAAGCCCCTCCTGGGCACACCCACCGGTCCAGCCTGTCACAGGGGCCATGCCAAGACTCGTGCCCAGGGCAGTGACCCTCGTCCTTTCCAGTCAAAGGCCATCAGACTGTGGGGAATAACCGCCCTCCCCAGGAGTGGGTCTGCCCTAACAGCCGATCCCGGATCACTCCCTGAATGAACAAATGAGTGAAAACACCACCTCACAAACCGTGCCCTGGGACCCCCAGGCCGACTCTGGCCTGCCTTCTGGTGGAAGTCAGACTCCTTCAGTGACAGTGGGATGTCAGCATGCTCTGGGGCAACACAGACCAGGCTCGGGGTGAATAAATCCCTTTCTCATTAGCAGTTTAGGTAAGCCGTGGCCAAAGCTCCAAAGACATGCAGCTGGCCCTTGGTGATCTGAACAAGTACCAACACACGCTGTGTGCCCAAAGTGGCCACGCTCCCAAATGCAGGCTGGGCAGGTGGAAGGTCTGTTGTTTACAAAAACACTACATTCATGAACTGCCTTTGTTGAGAAGACGACGACTGAAGCAAATGGAGAATCCCAGAAAATCCAGCCCTCACTGGCCACACCAGCGGGCCCCTGGTATTCGTGCTAGGTGGGGAAGGACTCGGCAGGGGCTAGGGGCCTAGGGGCATGCACGCTTCGGCCTGGAGACCCGTCCTGGACGAGCGCTAACCAGCACTTACCCGGGACTAGCTCTCCTGACTGCAGGTCTTTCTAAATTCCTTCTGCTGGCAGCCAGATCCCAACAACAGGGGGAGGGGGGAGGGGTGTTGGAGTCAGGGGTGGGGGCAGTCACACCCCAGTCTCCCACACAAATGCTGGCACCGGGAGGGTAAGAAGCAGAGGCCTTGGGCTTTGCTCCTAAAATGTCAAAACATTTGTGGAATTCAGCACTAAGTAAGCAAATCCAAAAGTATGGCACTGGGAACGACATCCAGTCTCCTGGGAAAAACCATAGTGGGAAGGGATATACAAAAAGGATGTACGTATGTACGTCTAACTGAATCACTTTGCTATACAGCAGAAATTAGCACAATTTGTAAATCAACTATACTTCATTAAAAAACCAAAAATCAACAAAAATTAAAAAAAATAGCAGAGCTCCAAAAGTGACTCCACACAGCTCTCGACTCACCAGAGATGGAGATGGGGTGGTGCTGTCCCGGCTGCCGGTCTGTGCATCTAGGTCCATGGAGCTGGCGTTCCTCAGGCCCTGCCGGGGTCAGAGGTCCCAGCTGGCCCCGCCACGCGCTCCCCAGGACTGGAATGCCCATGTCAGCACTCACTGTCTGAATAAGGAGGGCTTCCCAGCTCCACCGCCGCCCTCGGACACAGGCTCCTCAACTCTGTGCTAGGTGGTTACGCTTCCCTTCATTGCCTCGTGGCCCTGTTTTGGCTTCAAAATACCAACATGCACCTCGTCCTAAGCAACACATCTGCTTGTGCTCGCCAGACACAGCTCCGGGGGCATGTAGACCCGGGCGCTGGGCATTGAATGAAGGCTCCGGGGCGTGCCTGTTATGTTCTGAACCCTAACATGTGAGTGTAAGATAGATAAAAGATGCTTAATACCAAAACTGAATTGCAAATTTAAGAGCACAAAGAAAAATAGCAGTAACCAATGATCAGGGGAGCTTTCCTAGAAGGCTAGGAAGGTATCTTCCAGTAGGTGTCACTGACAGGGACCACCAGGAAGCGGAACGTGACCAGAGACCACAGTGCTGCCCGAGTGAGTTAGCAGGTCCTCAGGGCACCACCGAAGGCCAGCCCTGTGCTGACTCACTAGCCACAGCCACCACGCCAGCTGAACGACTGTGTTTCCCCCTTGCCTCACCCTCCACTGCCAGCAGGTGACAACCGGAGGTGTGGGAGATGCTCACCTGGGCCAGTGGCCTCCCCAGCTGCTGCTGTGCTGGGGACCACGGGGTACAGGCCGTGTGGCTCCCCCTGTCCTCAGGCTGCACCCCCTCCAGCACCATGGGGTGAACTTAGGTGGTCCCCTTGGCTGGGCCTGCTCAGGTCTTCTCCTTGGGTCTGAATATTGGGTCATGACACCCAGGAAGCCCCCTGACCCTCCCAGCCCCCATGGACGAGCTGAAGACTGAGGAGGCAGATGAGTTCCCAGCACTTGTGTCGGGAAAACAGCAACCTGTTAACCCCAAATACACCAGACAGGAAGAGAGGAAAAAAATTCCCCTGCAAACCAGCCTTTGAGATTGAGCAACCTAGCTGCTACTGCTTGCTCCTTGTGGTCAACCTCTGGGCCACCAGACGGCCAGGTCGCCTGCGTGGACGTGGGAAACAGACAGGAGCCACGCTCATTACCAAACCCTTTTCCTTTTTTATTAGACATAAAAACAGCAAAGTCCCACACACCATACCCTGCAGGAAAACGAGATGAGCGAGGCATGTCGGCTATTTACAATAAGGGCTGCAGCAATCGAGCCCCGCGTGCAGCCCAGGTCCCAGTGCAGACGCTCCGTGGGGGCGGGCGGTCAGTGGCACAGGGCGATGGTCTCCATGTTAAGGAAGCGGACGTGCATCTTGGTCTCGATGTCGATGCCCTGCCAGATCTGGAGCACAGACAGAGCAGCATGAGTGGGCATCCCCGCCCCTCAAGACCCCCGGCCACTCCCTGCCCGCCCACCTCCACCGCCCACCGCGACGCCCCGCAGGTGAGATCCAGAGCGAAGCGCAGAACCTCTTCCATCTGCCTCTTTGCTGGTTAACTGGGCTCTGACATTCAGATTCTTTCTGGACTGTCACAGCAAGTTATTATTTAAGTGCTGAATCCAAGCTCCTAGCTGAAGTCACTCGAGCCACCCACCACCACTTCAGGCTCCATGATTTTCATGCAAACTCCTGAGCCCCTGTTAAACCTCCTTTGCACCAGAAAGACATGGAGACCACCACCTGTGCTGCCCACTCTGTGGTGGGGGCTCCCGTGGAATCCTGCACGGAAGCGGCTTGTAAACTGTTAAGGGCTGTGCAACTGTAAGATCTCATCAAGCCATCATCATTCATTCAAAGGTCGGGACAGTTAGGTCTTTATAACCTCCCAAGGATAGGTCACCGTGTTCCAGAAAGATAAACTCCTGCCCAGGAAAGGTAGTTTCTGCCAAAGACCACGTCTGTCACCACATACCTGGCAGGGCCATCAGGGTCCATCCTGAGCAGGGCCCTAGCGGACACTCAGGCCACCAGACCCAATGCCGCACTACGAGCTCCAGCGCCCAGGACTCCTGCTCCTCGGCCATTCGGGCCCAAGAGGACCACGGATGGTGAGATAGCTGGAAGGATGCGGACAGGAACTAAGGGGTGAGGTGGCGGTGACTGGTCACCGTCTCCCTGATTATGTAAGAACTTCAGACTCTCACAGTGTCGCCCTCAACATCTCCAGGGACAGCCGCAAGGCTCGGGCACGCACAGTCCTGTGGGCACCCAAGCCACAGGGAGGCCTCGGCACACTTTCGGCCACTGTCACGTGCCCACAGTCCCAGGCGCTTTCCTTGTTAGGTGGGCAGGGTGTTCCCAGGAAGAGAGGTCTGGATGCGCAGGGTGGTTTCTGCTAAATGCCAAGGTGATGAGAGGGTCGTGGGGGGGGGGCACTCGGAGAACGGGAGCAGCCAGCTGGTCGGGAAAAGCCCAGCGGCCACGGACTTGGGGCCCTAGAGGCGGGTGGGGCAGGGCTGGGAACAGACTGCTGGTTTTCTGGGGCCAAAAAGGATTTCATCTCGTCTTCTTGCTTGAAGCAGCATCCTTCCGCCCTAACCTCCCCTCGGCCTCCCTGTCTTCTCACCACTCACTCTGGTTCTTGCTTGGGTGTTACCACCTTTCCACACGCCAAGGTCACCCATGGCCCAAATGCCAGCTCAACTTCTCCCCGTCCACCTGCCCTGGGGGAATTGGCAGGGCACGTCTGAGAGGGAGGCTGACCTCCTCCAGCTCAGCAGGCCCTTCCCATCTCTCCTTCAGGCCGGGTCTGTACCACCCACACCCCTCCTCATGTCCCTCTCCTCTTGCCATGACCGGCCAAGTTGGCGGCACAGACTTTGGGGGAGCCCCTCGGACAGGCTGCCCCTCGGCTTCCTAGAGCTTCAGCCATAGGGTGGGGGTTCCCAGCCCCGTCCTGGGCACAGGCCTGTTCCCAAAGGCCGCCTGGGAGTGCTGGCAGCTGGCCCAGGAGCCCCCGGCTATCATTGCCCTAACCTCCCATCTTCCTCAGCTCCTTGAAGGGGTGCAGGGGCACTGCTGTTGGGATGCTCAGGGCCAAAGAGTGGGCAGAGCACTGGCTGGCTTGACTCCTCGCCAATCAGAGCGTCCAGATTCCCAGTGTGCAGGCACGTTTGCAGCCATGAAGGCTGGGTGAGGCCTGAACGTCCACTAACCAGGGTGGAAGGTGGGCAGCTGGACACACAGCACTGTCTGTGAGGCCCAGGAGGGCAGCAGGGCCGCACGTGGGCAGTACCAGTGCGTGCTGAGAAGAGCTGGGCTCACAGGCGTGGAACATTCCAGACCCTGGTTCCAACTGTCAACAGGGTGCTTCTGAGAAAGGGGACCAAGAACTTGATAGGGAGAAAAACGGAGCCTTCCTCAGAGGCCCTTTTGTACTTGCTAAGTTGTTTTGACCGTCTGTGACTATCATCACCCTTTCAATAAACATAAATAAAACCAGTTTAAACCACTGTGAAGGCCACAACTCAGGCTAGACCCTGTTCCCTTGAGACGCCCATCTCTTCCTGACCAGCAGGGTCCCCCGCAAGCCCCCAGTGCAGCCCCCATGTCCACCCCCAATTCCCAGGCACCCACCTTTAGGAAGTCATCGAAGGTGATCCCCTCGTACACCTGATCAGGCTCCTGGGGACAGAGAACGGGGCGCAGTAAGTGGTTTCTGCCCAGAGACCCTCCACTTCCACCCTCTGACATAGAAAGGGGGGGTGGGGCATGTAGGTAGGACCACGAGAACATTCTGGACTGTTCGGCTCTAGCTCGGGGCCGGTCACCTTGAACTCCGGCATCCCCTTGATGGCGGGGTGGAAGCTGGTGCAGGCCCACCCCCTACCTATGTCCCTGGGGAGGACAGGGCCGACAAGGATGGGAAAAGAAGGGGGGTGGGGTGGGCACAGAGGCTGGGGCGGCCACCAACAGACACTCTGTGTCATTTCTCCGTCCTGCCTTCTCAAACCAGGCTTGGCTGAGAGCAGCTCTGGGCTGACCGGTGCTCCAGACACTGGGGAAAGGGCCAAGGGAATGAAGGGCCAGCCAGCACGGCCCACCCCTCTCACCCGTGAGTCAGCCTGATGGCATGGGGTCCAGGAGCCTCCCCTCCTGCGGGGTCACCTGTGCACACGGGGACGCACAACATGATAAGCGAGGCTCCTGGCCCTGATGCCGCTACAAGTAAGTCCACACGGCCCCCGCCCACAGCGCCCTCCGTGCTCATGACAACCGGGCGGACATCCCACCGCCTGTCAACACGAGACCAGCCAAAGAAAGCGTGGGCAGAGTCCAGAGTCCAGGCTCTGGATTACCACGAAGAAGGGGTCAATCCCAGATGGGCTGATACGGAACAGGCTCCAAGATACGTACCCGGTGGGGAAAAAAAAACAAACAAGGAGCAGAAAGACGTTTGCAGGCTGTTCCCTACACCACAGATGGCTGCCTCCTGCCCCAGGGACGTGAGGGGTCAGCACGGGGACGAGAAAGCCGGGGGACTTGAATGCCGTGTTGTGTGACTCAGAACTAGAAGATCCAGTGTGTGCGTTGATCTGTGTCAGGAAAAACCCATCAAAGGCAGGTCTCTTTAGGGAGGAGGACCAGGAGAGAGACACTTCTCTTTATGCACCGCTCTGAGATTCGTTCTGACGCGTAGTTAAAACACCAGGGACTTCCCTGGTGGCCCAGTGGTTAAGAGTCGCCTTGCAATGCAGGGGACACCAGTTCAATCCCTGGCCCAGGAAGAGCCCACGTGCCACAGAGCAACTAAGCCCATGCATCACGACGACCGAGCCAGTGCTCTGGAGCCCCGAGAAGAGAAGCCACCACAAGTGAGAAGCCAGCACACCGCAACCAGAGTAACTCCTGCTCACCGCAGCTAGAGAAAGCCCGCGTGCAGCAGCGAAGACCCAGCGCAGCTAAAAATAAACGCGCAAACAATTCATTTAAAAAAGGAAGAAGACAGCAGCAGGCACTCGCCGTGTCTGCTACCAGTGTTTCACCAGCGTGATTACCGTGAGCTGATGTGAATCTCCCAACAGCCCCCTCAAGTGGGCTTTGCTCTTAATCTAATTTGGGATATACCTTTTAATTTTATGAAAAACGCCAGATTCTTAGAAGGCCTGGACCAGCCCTGTCCCCACGGCTGCCTGCTCTTCGTGACCAGGGTCAACAGACAGAAGCAGCGCTGCCCTCTACCTGCCGCCCACCCCAGGTACCTGGGGGCAGCCAAGGGGAGTGAACTATAGACGAGGCCCCACGGGCCCGAGACCCAGCCTGGAGGGTGGTGCCCGGTAGAAGCAAGGCAGGCGGAGGGGCCGGGGGCTCGGGGCAGCACCGGGGCCGAGACCCCAGGAAAGCCGGCCCGCCCTCCAGCCACAGGAAGGCTTCCCAGAGATGCACCCTGGAAAGATCCCAACCGCAGTGGACAGCCGGCCCTGGAAGTCCACGACGGTGGGTGATGCCTCGTCTGTCTTTGGCAGAAACGTCAGGTGTCCTCAGAGGCCACACAGTATGAAAGGATGTGGTCGCCCCTTGCCTCTGTGTTTATCTGGTCGATGATCACAAGAGAAATATTTTACGAGCACACAGAAGAGTGGTAAGTTAAGGAAGATGATGCCCACGGTGGCGGGATACCCACCCTGGGAAGCTGGCACGGGCTCCAAGGATGCGTGGATTCTATGCAGATCAGCAGCTGCCAGCTGCCAGCGATTTCACGACAGCAAATTAAGAAAACTCGCCAATTGAAACTAGAGTACGACAGGGAGCAATTTATCGGAGGAGAGTGTAATTAAATCAAGTGGGGATTCGGCTCGCGCAGCCCGGCCGGGGATCCCCGCACTCCCCAACGAGGCCGCCAGCCCCTTCTGCAGCAGCTTAATCTGCTGAGGAGGGTGAATTCACCAAACCCAGAAGCCTCCCTAGGGCCCCTGAAGCAGACAAATAAAATGCAGGTCAATAAAGTGACCACGGCCCCCTTGCTCCTGGGGGCAGGCCCAGGCCCGCCATCTCCAGACAATGGGCCTGGGCACAAACAGAATGTTCCAGCAGGAAAAAACACCCCTCCACCTGGGCTGGGGTGACCCCAACGCCGCGGTGGTGTCTGGGACGGCAGCCATGGTGAATACACAGGAGCCAGAGGGGGTGGTCTCCGGGGGACCACCTGAGACCCGCCACAAGGAACAAGGAACATGATGAGGTGAACACCTCATCACGGAGGTGGTCACGTGCCTGCCCACACAGCCCCCCCGGGCTCAGAGCCCCTGTACGGCCGAGTCCAAGGTCACTGTCCGGGAAGCCCAGAAGACTCCCATGTCTCTGAGCCTTGGTTCACTTGGAACCAGTGAAACAAGGCTACAAATCCATGAAGTGATGCCCATGGAGAACCTAGCACGGTGCCTGCGCTCACCCTTCGGAGGACCCTGGGGGGTGCCTGGTTGCCTGGAACCTCCCAAGGGAACCTGCAACCCCCTCTCCCCACAACAGCACCATCTGAGCCTGTGAATGCCGGCAGTGGCCGCTCACAGGACGGGCTGGTCCACTGGCCATCCATCCCTGTGCCCTCTGCTCCATCTATTCTGCACCGGGGGCGACTTCACACCCCTCACCCACCACCAACCCAGGGACAGCAGCTGTGTCTGGAGACACGTTTGGCTGTTATGACTTGGAGGGTGTGGCTGGCATCCAGTAGGTAGAAGCCAGGGACGCTGCTCAACACTCTGCAACTCCAGAGGGCCCTGTGTCAACAGCGCCGGGTGGAGAAACCCCAGGCCTGAGAGCCCGGGTCTGAGAAATGACTCTCCACTGCTGACGCCAGCGGGAGGCCTCCCACCCTTGTCAGCCACACACCCCTATGGCCGAGCCCGTCCCATCTACAGGTCACCCCCGCGGCTCCCAGCTCCTCCCTGGACGCCAGGTCGTGGGCCCTCAGGAGACCCCTGCCCTCCAGGCCACAAATCGCCTCATTAAGAATAAAATTCATGTGAGCCCATGCGGTACACCCACTGGGCCTGGCTCTGTGCCAGGTGCTACCGTGGGCCCAGGGAGGCTATCCAGTAGGGTCTGTGGCCCCCCAAGCCCAGCCTCCCCTGCCTGGCCCGACCCCCCCAGGTCCCCAGGACTGGGACCTCAGATTTAGTTTTCTGGTGGGACAGGAAAGCAGCGAGGTTTCTGAGCAGAGCTCTGCGCCAGGCCCGGTTGGAGTGGCGAGCAGGCCACGGGTGGTCTCTGCCCTCCAGGCCTTCCAGCAGCACAGACTCAGAGCGGGCAGGGCTCGGCGGGCGGAGAGTGGAGGGTGGGGACATGGGCCCCGGGCCCTCACCATCTGCCCCACGCAGACGCTGGCCGCCTCCATCATGGCACCGTCGGCGATGGAGCGCGCCGACTCCTTCTCAATGTGCGGGTTCCCCGACAGCAGCTCCTCTACCACCTGCCGGGCGGGGCAGACACACCGTGAGCTCGGGCCTCAGGCCAGGCCGCTGAGCACGGTGTGTGGGGGGCGCCGGGGCCCGCCGGGTGGGCACGGGAGCATACTTTACATTTCGATACTCTTCCAGGGTGATGCGGCCGTCGCTGTCCGAGTCGTACATGTGGAACAGAACTGGGGGCGGCGGGGAGAGGAGAATGAGTCAGGCGAGGATGAGAAGGGAGCCCTGGGTTCCCCGCTCCCCCAACCTCCCCCTCCCTCAAACTGAGCAAAGCACCCCCAGCAATGCAACCCGAATGCCAAAGCCGTAGGGGGCAAGGGCAAAGGGCGTGGGGCCAGACGGACCACTTCTGGTGGGTGACCTTGGGCAAGCAACCTCACTTCTCTGAGCCTCAGCTTTCCCATCTGTAAAATGGGAGTCACTACACCTCTGCCTCTGTGGTGTCAGGTGAGCCAAGGCCGGAGGATCACGCGACAGTCTCATCAAGAGGAAGTCAGCTCAGCGTGACTTCAAGGTGTCACTCCTGACAGACCCAAGAAGGTGGCTGCCATCCTGGGCTTGGGGCAGGTCATGGACCCCGCTGCTTCCCTCCTGCCCTGGCTGATCCAAGCTGGCCCCCGAGGGGCATTCACACCTGTTCGGCTTGCTTCTGTCTCAGTGAGGTCACCTGGTCCCTTTACTGACATGACTCAGCAGCCTGCATCCTAGCAGAGCCAGGGGCTGAAGGGGAGGTGACCTCTCTACCCCTGGCTCAGCCTCAGGGAGCCTCAAGCTCATGAAGGCCTCGGTCCCGGCATTTACCCTGCCTGGCGCTCTGCAAACATCTCTGCCCCTCATCCTCACACGACCCTGCCCCGAGCCCAGGGCTACCCCGAGCCCGTGTCACAGACAGGGCTGACAAGCTCAGAGAAGCGAAGGCATTTGCCCACAGCTGCCCTATTAATGGTGGCTTCCTTGGTGGCTCAGACGGTAAAGAATCCGCCTGCCATGCAGGAGACCTGGGTTCGATCCTTGGGTTGGGAAGATCCCCTGGAGAAAGGAAGGGCCTACCCACTCCAGTATTCTTGCCTGGAGAATTTCATGGACAGAGGAGCCTGGCGGGCTATAGTCCATGGGGATGCAAAGAGTTGGGACACGACTGAGTGATTTTCACTTCACTTCATTAACGGAGGGGCAGCCAGGGGTTTGAACCAGAGTCTGTCCCATCCCGAAGGCCCCATGACCCCTGACCTGGCCCTTGGAACCATCTGGAAGCTGGGCTGACACCAGGCACCATCCCCCAGCCCCCAGCAGTCCTCAGGACACATCCTGAGCTAAGTATAGCCCGGGCCCTGTTTATATTTCCCTGCAGACGCTGCTGCCTCGGGGGCAGGGTGCGGAAGGATGCTGGAGTCCCGGGAAAGTGCACAGGGAGGGAGGGGTGCTGCCCGCCCTGAACTCAGACCCAGGGCCGGAGAGGCCCCGAGGGTGGGGGGCGTCGGCCCGTGGAGGCCGCCCCGTGAATCTGAGTCTGGTGGCGGGCTGTGGACCAGGGCAAGGGTGAAAGCACCCGTGAGGTCTCATCCAGCCTCAGAACCACGCACGTGTCCAGCCCTTGTTCCCAGCGTCAGGTTCAAGGTCAACAGCTGCTTGGTGGAAGGGCTGGATTGAACCAGGTCTGTCCAAACCAATTTCCCATCACCGACAGACCCTTCTGTTTCCAGAAAACCACCAGCTGCTGAGGAGTGACAACAAGGAGGCTGTCTCAGAGCAGCCTATGAGAGGGAGCGCCCTCTGTGCTGTGAAACCCCCTCCCCAAGGCCCAGAGTTGGGGCTCCCTGACCCTCTCCACCCCCCGCAGGGGCACAGCAGGCCTCGGGGACACCCACATCTCAGCTTCTCTTTCCGGCACAGCTGCACCTGCTCCTCATCCATGGTGGTGTCAATAGGCCGGAAGTAGGACATGATGGTCAGAAAGTCCTCGAAGTTGATCTCGTCAGCCAGGCCACTGGATCCCTTGCGCAGGTTCCTGCAGGAGCAACGAAGGGGTGTTGGAAATTCATTCAAAACAGAACCTCATCTCAGTGCCGCCCACAGCCCCAGAGAACCCGGCCCCTCCAGGCACTCGCTTCACCTACAGTGGCTATCCCAGCCTTGGGTTCTGCTACTCAGCGACCAGCTCGTGGGGGTACCGGGGCCCCCCTGGGGGGTTAGTCCAGCCCTGTGCTGCACTCCTCCACCCAGAAACCACCATCTGGGGGCCTGGGGCAGACACAGGCAGCTGCACCTCTGCTGGGGCGGGGGGCTGCCAGGCATGCACGGGGGACAGAGGTGGGTGGTAATTCACCAGGTACGTCTCCTGACCCTTTCCTTTAGATTGAAAGGGTCAGGGGGTCACAAACTCCAGCCCAGGGGCCAAATCCTGCCTGCCGCCTGCTTTTTTATAGCTCATGAGCTAAGAAGGGTTTGTATGTTTTGATATGGTTGAAAAAAAATGTTAAGGGGGGAAAAAAAGAATAGCATCACATGAGAAGTGAAAATTACATGAAATTCAAATCTGAGCGTCCAGAAATAAAGTTTTATTGGTGCATGGCCACGCCTGCTCATTTACATGGTATCCGAGGCTGCTTTAAGGCTACAAAGGCAGAGCTGAACAGTTCCAACAGAGACGATGTGGCCTGCGAAGCCTAAAATATTTACTCTCTGGCCTTTTAGAGAAAGTTTGCCAGCTCCTGCTCTCTGTCAGCCGTCTGAAACTCGGGCACAGTGATCTGTGTGCAGGCAGTTCTGAGTAACACGTTTCCTACCAAAGTGTGAAGTGCACCAATGAACTGCAGGCTTTCGAACAGATGAGGGCAGGTTTGAGATGTCCCTGCGGATGTGCTTTTCCAAAGGGGTGGGAAAGGGCTTGAGTTCCAGGCGGGAGCGAACCCAAGGCTGGGTCCGTCTCCTGCCGAGCACACTGCGGGTACCCAGCAAATGCATGCGAGGGCACTGACAAGCCACCAAGTGCAGGTCCTGGCAGAGGGGTTGGGAAAGAGTCAGCCTAGAGCTGACTCCAACCAAACACGGGCTCCTGACCCACAGCTGCCCTACTCTCACCGCTGATCGACTTCTACTGGGGCAGGTCGCCATCTGTCTGATGGTTCTCCTACCCTCCCTGTGCCTCCTTGCAAAGGGACAGTTCTCAGCTGGCCTGGGATGATGGTGCTTCTCAAATGCACTTGGGTGCCTCCTGGGGTCAGGACCACATCTCAGCTTAAAGAAACACGTTCAAGGTTCTCTCTCCAGGGGTCCATCTGTTGTGGTTTTGTTGCTAAGTTGTATCTGACTCTCTGTGATCCCCACAGACTATAGCTCACCAGGCTCTTCTTCCCATGGGATTTCCCAGGCAAGAATACTGGAGTGGGTTGCCATTTCCTTCTGCAAGGGATCTTCCCAACCTGGGGATGGAACCTGCATCTCCTGCATTGGAAGACAGGTTCTTTACCGCTGCGCCACCAGGGAAGCATTGGCCCAGTTGCTCACTTTCAAATCCTGCCCCTGCAGCGTGCACCACACTCCACAGTTTAGAGATCTCACTATCCCCAAGCTTCCATTCCAGGAGATTTTCCAGAAAGAAGTGGCTCCCGAGCCTGGATCACGAAAGGTGGATTGTGAAACAACAAACTGGAGAGATGAGAGGGGATCTCCCCAGGACTCAGTAAGCCTAGTCTTTGAGTGTGTGTGGTGTTTTTTTTTTATTTCAACTTTCTCTGAAATCATCTCTTACAAAGGTTTCCCACTGTTCCTCTGGACAGATTTTTAATAACCTCAGAGTTCCTGCTGTCAGGGGCATAGACCAGACTTACAAGGTGTAAAAACAGCCCCAGGAGTCATCAGGCTCCTAGGAGGCATGGTTCAGTGGGTTAGTTTACAACCTCCTTCTCAGGGGGTTCCGGCTGCAGCGAGGGATGGAGATGAGCTCGGGGACATGTGATGGGCCCCGGGGCAGGCAGGCCATGTGTGTCTCTTCTCAGGGAAGGCTGTGACCTGGCTGCTTTGGCATCAGGACCCAGTTCAGGGGCAGGGGGTTCCTTCCCATCCTAATGTCCCTGGGAGGTCCATGTGGGCCAGCATCCTGGTCTCTCAAGGCGACCAGAGGCCGAGGAAACCCAGACACAGCCCCTGGAGCCAGGCCGACCTGTACTCCACTCCAATTTCCACAGTGGGGCACCCCAAGGCTAGGGTCAGTGGATAGAAGAATGGGTGTGTGCACTAAGTCGCTTCAGTTGTGTCCCACTCTACACGACCCTATAGACTGTAGCCCACCATGCTCCTCTGTCCATGGGATTCTCTAGGCAAGAATACTGGAGCCAGTTGCCATATCCTCCTCCAGGGGATCTTCCCAACCTAGGGAACCTAACTTATGTCTCCCAAGTCACCTGCATTAGCAGCCGGGTTCTTTACCACTAGTGCCACCTGGGAAACCCTAAAAGAATGGGGGCTACATCCAAATCTGCAGCCCTGCATCACAGCACTCTTTTTGCAAGAAAGCCCGATTGAGTGCAGTATTTTCACTTCCTTAACTCTCCGATGACTCTGTGAGGACTAGAGCCCATGGAGGTGGGGACAGACCTGGCTCAAACTGCCTTCCAACCAGCTTTCTGCTTCACTGTCTTGTTCCCAAAACGTCTTAGGATGCAAGGCAGATGCTGGTACTTTTTGAAAGGAAAATCCCGCCTCCAGCCTGTCCTCTGACTCCTCCCGCACTCCTTGGCAGAGCTTACAGGACAGAAATGTAAAAGACGCACAGGCGCTGAGCTGCTCCAGGTCCCAGCTGGGGAAGCCTTTCTTCAATCCTCTTCTTGGTGACCTCTGGGCAGTCCACCAACTCACAAGGGGCCTCCCTTTCTCCAGACCGTGTCTCTAAGCAGGTGCCCAAGGCTGAGGTCCCAGAACCCACGGGGGGATGGGGGTGGGAGTGGGCTCTCACCTCCCGCTATGGGCCACTGTCCTCCTTGTCTCCTGCTCACCATCCTGCATTGTCTTCCGATGGTCATTCCCTAGAGCAGGTGTCTCGTGAGCCGCCTGCACTGCAGGCCTAGGGACCCCTCAACTCCCTCCCTATCATATCTGATCCTCTTCTCTCCTAGGACAGCCTGGTCCAGCCTCCACCATCCCAATAGGCAGCGGCCAGAAGGAGCTCTGCAAAAAGCAAGTCAGAGACTTCCCTGGTGGTCCAGTGGCTAAGACTCTGCACTCCCAGTGCAGGGGGCTCGGGTTCCCTGCCAGGTCAGGGAACTAGATCCCACAAGCTGCAACTAAGACCCAATGCAACCAAATAAATAAATATTTTAAAAAAGCAAATGTCTGTCACTCCCTTGCTCAATGCTCTCTGGAAGCTTCTCCAGCTCTTGGGGTGACTCCCCCCACCACAAGCCTCCACCTGGTATCCCAGGTCTCAGCCCAGCCCTTACCCCCATTTCCCACCACACCCCCCTCATCAGGGGCCTGAAAGCCTGTTTCAACGTCTGCCTTGCAGACACTCAACATTCCTTGACTGACTGAGGGCCTCCCTCCATCCCTCGGGAGGCACCTGCCTGCGCCCGCGCTCAGGGCTCTGTCCTAACGTTGGGCACTCCAAGCAAGGTGGGTGTCTCTCCCACCTCTGACTGTGGATTCAGGGCCGCGCCTGCCTGTCCTCTGGCCAGAGGGAGGTTTCTGCTCCAGCACCAGCTCCTGCCCAGGCCCAGTCCTCTCGGCAGGCAGCGTATCAGTCCTGGAGAGCAGCTTGTTCCACACCCAAGTTCCACCCTCACCTGAAAACACAACTCCTGGAGCCTGTTCCCAGTTCCCCAGGGGACAGAGGAGGGCCAAGTGACCTCCGGCCAGCCTTGCTTTAAGAAACAGCTTCCCCGGTGGCTCAGATGGTAAAGAATCCGCCTGCAATGTGGGAGACCTGGGTTCAGTTCCTGGGTTGGGAAGATCTCCTGGAGAATGAAATGGCAACCCACTCCAGTATTCCTGCTTGGATAATCCCATGGACAGAGGAGCCTGGGGGGCAGTGGGGGAAGGCGGGTACAGCCCACGGGGTGGCAGAGTCGGACACTCAGCATACCGTGGCTCTTGAACACATGTCATCTCAGCGCAGCCTCACAGCAACCCCATAAGGCAGGTGCTGTTATTACGGTCATCGTGCTGTATATGAGCAAAGTGAGGCAGCCTCCGGGTGTCCACGGCCCCGCCCCCACCCATCAGGACAGTAGAGGTTTCCTCGGGTCCCCCTCCAGCCCTGCCACTCTCCTCCTGGGCCGGCAGTGAGGACAGAAGAACCAAGCCCTTGGCCCCAGGTGGACTCCACAGGCCCGGGGGCAGCAGGGTCACTGGGACCTCTGGGGCGTGCCCCTCTGCCCATCCTGGCCCACCTGGTACCATGGAAGACACCAGCCCCTCCAGCTCCAACCATAGAAGGCTGGGTCCCCGGAGCCCGCGAACCTCACAGCTGCCCCGGTCTCGTCCAGTCTCTCAGAAACAAGCCTCACAGGCAGGTGCCCACGGGCCTGTGTACGCACAGACGCACACATCTGCATGCCGCCCCTTCTTGTGTCAGCCACCACGACACTCTGGTCGCCCCTCACCATCTTCCTCTGACACCTCCAGCCCTAGACCCCAAGGGCCATGTTGTCTCCATGTTGGGGCCACATCACCTGCACCGCCACTCCACCACCTGTCAGCAACGCCCCCCAATCCTATTCTGCTCATTGCCCACCCACCCAGGCCTCACCCTGGGATTCCGCCAGCAGAACCAGGGTTAAAAAGAAGGTGGGGGTGCTGAATTCTACTCCCATCTTTACCACTGACCACGTGACTTCAAACCTTCCTTCTCTGAAGGGACCGTGTGACAAGCTGCTGGGGGTGATTCCTCAGGTACCAGCTCCCTCACTTTCCTCTGCCCTCTGTCACCCCCTCCCAGGTATCTCAAAGCCACCCATTGCCATCTGCACTCAGGAGTCCCGGCTCCAGCCCGAGGGACGCTGGCCTCAGTCCCTGACAACCCACTGGCAGCCAGAGTGACCACTGCAAGATGCCAACCTGCTTCACGCTCCACACACTCCCCTTAAAGCTTATCTTTGCCCCCAACCCCTGATGCTGCTCCTGGGTTGAAGTCAAGACACCTCTTGCTGGCCTAGGGTCTGCACAATGCACTCTGCCCACCCCACACCTCTCACCATGCTCAGCCTGTGTTCCAGCTGAGTCCCCTCTCTGTCACTCGTATACCTGGACTTTATGCCACAGGGCCTTTGCACATGCAGTTTTGGTCTCTCTCTGCTTTGCCTGGCTAACTCCTGGGCACTTTCTCCTCAGGTCTCACCCCACAGGCCCTGGAGGAAGGTTGCTGTATTTTTCGGGGCAGCCCAAGGACTTCCCAGCCCCCCTTGTGAACAGTGAGGTCCCACTTCTGGCTCAGGACCCCACAGTCCTGGCAGAACTGAGCTGGGCGGTTCAGGCTTGCACGACTTGAAGCCCGTCCAGGGAGACCCCACCTATCACATGATCTCAACACGCCAGTTCCCTTCCTTCGTCTTTAGCCCGCTCCTCAGCGACCTCTGCAGACACAGCGTGTCAGGCCTGGGACCAGGGTGTTTGTCCACAGGCTCTGGCAGCCTGCTGAGGGCATGCCCGCCCCCCATGTCCATCCCCTAGCTCTTCACTAAGACACAGTGATGTCCCTCCTGATCCATGAGTCTTTCAACTCTGACGACCCTGGACATTTGAGGACATGAGCTCTGGCCTTAGCCTCAGCTTTGGGACACTGTCCATGGTGCCTCTCTCTGCCTCAGCTTCTCCATCTGTAAGCCAGGGCACTGAGCATACTCTGGCTCTTCAACACACATCATCTCAGCACAGCCTCACAGCAACACCACAAGGCAGGTGCTATTATTACCGTCATTCTATCTATAAGGAAAGTGAGGCAGCCTCCAGGAGGGCACCAGTGAGCCTGCCTCCAGGTATCCATGCCCCATGAGGTCCAGACTCCAAGTGCGGGGAGACCCAGGGACTCACTTCTGACGAAAACAATATAGAAAAGGTGATGGAATGTTATCTGCAAGACGAAGTTACCAGTGGATGGTGTTTTCCATTTCAAGTGCCCAGTCTCTCTCTTCTCCCTCCCTCTCTTACTGGAACGTCTTACTCTGAGGAAAGCCAGCTGCCAGGTGTGGTAGCTCTGGGGATTGGTTCATGAGCTGCCAACATCCAGGTGGGTGAGCTCGGAAGCAGAGCCTCCCCCAGGCATGCCTTCAGGTGACTGCAGCCCCAGTTGACCCTCCCTGAGCCAGAGAACCCAAATCCCTGATCCATAGAAATGGTGAGCTAATAAATATGTATTGTCTTAAACTGCTAAGTTTGGGAGGGGGGTAACTTGTTACACAGCCATAGCTAACTAATACAGAGGCCGAGAGAGATTGAATGAGCTGTCCCAAGTCACCTAGCCATGAATCCAGAACTGCTAGACCTCTGACCCATGCTCACAACTCCTACCCATCACATGCCTTTTGAGCACACGAGTTATGACAGAGGTCACAAAGACAAAACACTCCCCACAAAGTCACCCACCATCAGCATTCCAGGAGAAGGGCCCACCTGTTGTCGAAGAAGGCACGGACGATTTTGGACCGGATTGGGTTGAGCTCCAGGTCAGGGACATTGTTGAAGTTCTCCTTCCTGGGTTTCCAAGGAGGAGGCACACCGGCAAATGAAGGAGGAAAGAATGATGTCAGAGAGCATGTTCATCACTCCTCACATTGTGTTTTTCACCCTGAGCAGGCCCTACGAGAACGGTCCAGAATTCATGAGTCAGGACTGGAATATGCTGCACTGGTACACCTCCTCCTCTAACCCTTGGACCAGCGGGACCACAGAGGGCCTGGAGGCACAGAGATGCCTTTGGGAATCTGATAGATGTCCTGGACATCCACCCTGCTGATCCCCCAGAAAGATGCAGTGACACAAGACCTGCATCTCGTTCTGAGCAGTCAGATACCCCAGGTAGGGAAACCCTGAGTTAGCTGTCCTGGAATCAGAGCAGCAACCTGCGTGCTTGGAGATTTCAAAAACAGTGTCCACAGCAGGTTAAAAACCTGGAGTTATCACATGACCCAGTGATTCCACTGCTAGGTATATACCTGGATATGTCCCCAGAGAAATGAAAACATTCATCCACATAGAAATTTGCCCATGAAAAGTGATAGAAGTGGGCTTCCTGGGTAGCTCAGCTGGTAAAGAATGTCTGCAATGCAGAAGACCTGGGTTCAATCCCTGGGTTGGGAAGATCCCCTGGAGGAGAGCATGGCAACCCATGCCAGTATTCTTGCCTGGAGAATCCCCATGGACAGAGAAGCCTGGTGGGCTACAGTCCACAGGGTCACAAAGAGTCGGACATGACTGAACGGTTAAGCACATTCAGCCATTAAAAGGAATGAAATACAGACAACAGGCTACAATACAGATGGACCGTATAGACACGGTGCTAAGTGAAATAAGCTGGGCCACACAGTGTATGATTTCATTTATATGAAAAGTCCAGAATAAATCAATCCATAGAGACAGAAAGGATATTAGTGGTTGCCAGAGGCTGGGGAATTGGGAGCATGCTGGGGAATGGTACTGAGGGTATGAGGACTCTTTAGGGGGTGATGAAAACGTTGTCAAACTGACTGTGGTGATAGATACAGCACTCTGGAAGCATACTAAAAGCCATTGCATTGCACATTTTAGTGGGTGAATCGTAGGATATGCAAATTCTATTTCAGTAAAGCTGTTTAAAGGGAGAGAAATGTTCGTATGAGATGGTGAATTTCAAACACAGCCACCCTGTGGCTGGGGCCAGGTGTCGCTGGGTCCCAGAGGCTGTGAGTTTGCAGGTGTGAAGTCAGGTAAGTCCCCACCTGACTAACCTTCCCACATAAGGCTGTCCTTTGTTCTCAGACCTGCTTCCTGCTTGCCTTTTCTTCTGCTCTGGATTTCAACAGGCAGTGGCCTTGGAAGGGACCCAGGACACAGGCTGGTAATCCCGGGGAATAAGGAGGCAGACCCAGCTTGGGGAAGCTGGGAGGATATTAGCCACTTAAAAGGAGAATGTCCAGGGGTCCTCAGATTTAGAACTTGAAGTTAGAACCAACCCACACTGGGAAGGAGAAGTGCCATATACAAGGGGCATTCCGCACCATCAGAGCTGGAAGGTTCTGTAAACGCAGCTGAGCCCTGTCCTGCCCCCATCAAACAGGTGGGGAGGCTGAGGCTCAGACAGGAGAAGCAGGACCTACCCGGGGCCCGGACGCCTCCATGTTCTCTCCTTCTCCAAGCTGTCTCCCACCTCTCCCCACCACTCAGCACTCCTAGCTTCGTTTGCTTGCAGCATCTGGCCAAACTCAGGAGCCAGCATCAATGGATGCCAACATTTCAGATTCGTGAGGGCCCAGTTTTGAAGGCAACCCACTCAGAGCAGCTGGCCCACAGCAATGGAATAGTATTCAGCCATTAAAAGGACTGCAGTGATGACCCATGCTACAACAGAGATGAACTTTGAGAGCAAGATGCTAAGTGAAAGCAGCCAGACACAAAAGGCCACACAGTGTATGATTCTACGTATGAATATATGAGATGTCCAGAATAAGCAAATCCAAAGAGACAGAAAGCAGACTGGTGGGTGACAGGGACTGGGGGACAGTTGACAGCTAGGAGTTGACACAGGGTTTCTCTCGGTAGTGATGAAAATGTTCTTTTATGCACTGTAGACTTTAAGTGGATGAATTGTGTAACATGTGAATTATATCTCATCAGGCTGTTTTAAGGGCTTCCCAGGGGGCTCAGTGGTTGAAGAACCTGCCTGTAATGCAGGAGGCACAGGTTCAATCCCTGGGTCAGGAAGACTGCTCCCCCATCCCAGAGGAGGGCATGGCAACCCACTCCAGTATTCTTGCCTGGGAAACCCCATGGACAGAGGAGCCTGGCAGGTTGCAGTCGATGGGGCTGCAGATCAGACACGACTGAGCACAAGCATGAGCAAGCCTGTTTTAAAACATTCCTAAAATATGTTTTAAAAACTAGAAAGCAAAGAACCACTGCACCACGGCTTCATCAATACAGAGCTCAAAAAGTGAGGCGCCAACCTGTGCAGCTCAGAGTCAGGTCCACGGCCAACTACCTCCAGGGCTGGTCCCTAGGAGACAGCATGAGGCCTGGGGCCAAGGATGCTCTGCCCTTGCTCTGGGTTTGGGGTCACGGGTGTGTTTCAGCTTGTGAAAGATCGTCTCACTGTCCCCGTCACAGCTCGTCACACACCTGGCAGTCCACACTGCTCTGGCACGGCACCGGTGAGTGAGATGCAGTGACAGGAGGAAATGTAGGGAAACCCAGAGCCCCCGGGATGGGAACAGCTCAAGTCAAAGGGACTATGTGGAGTGTGAGCGGGGACGTGGGGAGAAAGGAGAGGAAGCCAGCAGCTGCGGCGTGGCTAGTTAGCACGAGACCCCAGGCCCTCTCTGACCTTTCTTGGCCGGTCTTGGTGACTGTCAACCCCTCCTCAGCCTCAGCTCCTCATCTACGAAGTGGGCGCAGCCTCTGAATCACATCGGGGTTCTACCAGCTCTGCCCCCTGGGACGAGCGACTTGGCTTCTCTGAGGCTCGGGCTTGCTCCTCTGCGCACAGGAGCCTCAGAGGGTTGTGGTGAGCATGCTTGGGAGGAAGTCTGGAACACAGCACGCACGGTGTCCTGTGAGGAGCGAGGGCTCCACGGGTGGAGGCTTTCAGGTGCCCGAGAGCATGGGGACGGGGCTCGCATTTCCACAGCACCACATCCTCAAGGCCTCAAGCAACCGGAGGCAAGGGCACGTCTGGACCATGCACAGCGGGGCGGAAGGGAGGGTCGGCGTGGGCGAGGCATTGGGTGTGGGCGGGGCCTGGGCAAGGCCCCGCCCCTTCCTCCAGCGTCCAGCGTCCAGTGTCCAGCCACTCGGGTTCGCAGATCCTCGCAGAGCATCACAACCCTGCTCTGCCCTGCGGAGCCCAGGTAGGGGCTCTCAGTGGAGCTTTGTCCGGGGCTGCTGGAAGGACCGCATTCAGGGATACACCGGGGAAGTGGGTCTGGCTGCGTCCCCAGGAGGGAACAGAGGCCAAAACAGAGGATGCTGCAGGTTCTAAAGGGACTGGGAGAAAACAGGTCCGCGTGCTTGTTAAGGTGGCAAGGAGGGACACACCAGCAGCGCCCCTGGCACCAGGAGATCCCACAAAGGTGGCAGGGCCCCGGGCTGCCATGGGAGGGCAGTGTCTCAGGAGGACAGAGGCAGGAGGACCTCGAAGAACCCGACTGAATGTCTAGAGAAGAAAATTAACAACCGAAGAGAGGTCTGGCCTCCCACTGACAGAGGGGAGGCAGGTGCTAGGAAGCTAGCTGGGGACACAGTGTGGCTGGGTCCTGGCCTCACAGACCTTGGCAGGTCTGTGCAGATGTCTTTGAATCCTAGCTGCCTTTCTCTGTAAGCCAGAACCACTCTCCCTCACCATGGGCACCTTACTGACGCTCCCAGCCTCAGTTTCCTCATCTGTGAACTGGGTACAGACCAAGCAGCACCCCCTCACACACACATATATCAAAGCAGAAGTGAAGTTAACCACACCTGGGACCAGTCCAGGCTCTGCCCCTGACCAGGCACATGCCCTGGTTGAGGCACTGCAGATCGAAGAGTCTTAATTTCTCATTTATAAAATGGGGATCATGGACATGCCCATGATCAGGCAGCATCATGGGGTTAATGAGATGATTAGGTGAGATAAACACACGTAAGGTGCTACTAGGCTCCCCAGGTGGCACTAGTGGTAAAGAACCTGCCTGCCAATGCAGGAGACATGAGATGGGGGTTCAATCCCTGAGTTGAGAAGATCCTGGGGAGGAGGGTATGGCAACCCACTCCAGTATTCCTGCCTGGAGAATCCCATAAACAGAGGAGCCTGGTGGGTTACAGACCATGGGGTCGCAGAGTTGAACATGACTAAAGCAATTTAACACACGTACACAAGGTGCTATTAGCATAACGTGACATGCAGTGAGTTCATTTTAAAACAATGATGGTGATAATAGCAGCAGCTAACCTACAGACACCCCAGGTGTCAGGTACTGTTGAGAGTTTTACATTATGAAAGTAGGAACATATTCCCACCTTAAAGATGAGGAAACAAAGACAGAGAGGTGAAGAAACATCTTATTGCTGAGAACAATGCCCTGACTTAGAATATGGATGCCCAGCCCTGGAGCAACTTCTCCTGAGTTCTCTCTGGTCCTGGGGAGGCTGTGAGCAATTCTGGGCTATCTGCTAACCTCCTTCTTCAACAAGTTGAGTTGCAGGCCTTGAACCCAGAGGCAGGGAAAGGCCAACTTCAGTTTAGGACATTGAAAGGGCTTTTATCTGAGGGCAAGGAAGAGGACAAAACCAGGACTTTCCTGCAAGGATCTTTTGCACAAAGGTATGTGGGCAGGCGAACTGCCTGGTGCAAGCAGAGAATTCTTGGGAGTTCCCTGGCAGTCCAGTGGTTAGGACTCAGTGCTTTCCCTTTCATGGCCTCAGGTTCAATTCCTGGTCAAAGAACTAAGAAGATTCTGCAAGCCGTGTGATGCAACCCCTCTGCCCCCCAGACTAGGGAATTTTGGCACTTCTCAAACATAAAC